TATCAAATAATTAAAATACAAGGCTAAGGGCTTTTTCAAGAGAGGAGGAGAGGAGAAAGATGAATTACAACCAGCAAAATCTTCATGGGGAGACAGGCTTAGGACCAACACAGATGTCACACACAGGGATGTGTGAGGGCCAGCATGGGCTCAGCCACTCCATCAGCCCTTCAATCGTAGCTCCTCATCTTGACTCCTGAATACAGGAAACAGTTCTCCCATGGACTGTGCATCACTAATTCCATTCCAAATACATAAGAGATAATTTCATTTTTTTCATATAATGGATGCTGTTCTAGCTCACATAGCTTAAGAACACTGGGGACAAACCCGTGGTTGTAACAAAGTCAAGCCTACTGACTCACTGCAAATGAGGAAATGTATACTGCAGCAAGTTTTACCCAACAAAGAAAAAGCCATGAGTTTTTAAAGGATTCCGGGATGGGTGGAATTTAGGTGAGGTTTCCCAGGCTGGGCCCGGACTAGTGATCTCCTGCCTCAGCCCCCCAGAGTGCTGGGATTTCAGGTGTGTGCCACCATATCTGGATGATTTTTACATTCTCAATGACTTAGGGATTTTGAGCTTATTTCTCAGAACCCTGGTTAAGAAAGGCAGCATGCAGGGGAGAGTTTGTGAAATGGTGCCACTGAAAGTTTATAAGGTAAAGACCCACAGCATACAGTTGAATTGGAGAGGATTCATTTAATCACTAGTCATTTACTGGGACAGACCAGGAGGAGGCTGAAGCTGTAGACAAGGTAAGGAGGTTGTCACACACGCACACACACGCACGCACACACAGTGTGCAGCAGGGTAAAGATACTAAATGACATGTTTCCAAAGCTGCTGCCACAATTACCTTTTGTAGCCTCTTCAACAGCAGATTTCTGGGATAATTCAAAGCCATGCTTGTCATGTAGGAATCTTCCCCAGAGTTAGTTAGGCTAATGTTCATGGTCAGTTCCTTGGTGAGACCTACCACCAATTCCTGTCTGCACAGAGTAAAAATAAAAGTGTTACCAATTTATTTAATCTGTAATAACTTGAAAAAAGGAACATGTTGAATAGCATGTTTCTTAATTATTCTTAATTACATGATAAACTGTATAAAGGATACATTTAGCCTAGATTTTTTTCCCCTGGAAAGAAGCAAACACTTGGACTGCCACACCTGTCTCATTGCTGGGATGAGATTTTTTTTTTCTTTTTTCTTTATTGTCTTTTGGAGACAGGGTTTCACCATGCAGTTCAGGCTGAGCTTGAGCTCACTTTGTGGCCCAGGCTGGCCTCACATCAGTGTTCCTGCCTCAGCCTCCCAAGTGCTGGCATTATAGGTGTACACTATCACACCCACCTCTGGGGTGAGATTATAATGGCTCCACTTACTTAGTGCTTGGCATGTGCCAAGGCTGTGCTTCAGGACCCCCCCCCCTTTTTTTTTTTTTTTTTTGGCAGAACCAGGGATTGAACTCAGGACCTTGCACTTGCCAGGCAAGCACTTATTCTACTGAGCTATCTCCCAGCCTTCAGACCCTCATTTAATCCCCCAAAGAACACTCTTAAATGCAACAGTTATGTTCTGTGCTGTATACAAGAAGAAAAGGGGTCAAGAGAGGCCAATTTGCCTGAAGTCTAGCATCCTCCAAAGAGAGCTGAGATGAATCTAAATCTTTCTACTACCAAATTATCATGGCCCTAGGCAAAGTCCTTCAAGACACACATCCATTCCACAGATATGTATGGGACATTGTGTATATGTCAGGGACTCCACACAGTGCTGGAGTGCAGTATACGCAAGCCATATACAGTACAATCTTTAATGTACTAGTACAGGGCCTACAGGGTCTCACTACACAGATCAGACTCATAGTGATCCTCCTGTTTTCAGCCTCCCAAGCGCTGGGATTACAGATGTGTGCTACCACACCCAGTCTGTCACCTTCTCAGCTCACCTCAGGGGCGGGGCCAGCACAGCATTGGGGAGGGATCAAACCCTGGTCCTTGCATCTGCCTAAGCAGCAGCTTTCATCTGCTGAATTGGGGCTGGGGAGATGGCTCAGTGGAATAAGTACTTCCCTGGCATGCGCAAGGTCCTGGGTTAAATCACTGGTTCCACAAAAAAAAAAAAAAAAAAACCAAAATTCACTGAACTATCTGGCCAGGCCTCAGCTCCATCTTCTTAACAAAGCTCCCTACCAACACCTTTGACACAGGGTCTCGCTATGTAGTTAGGGTTAAACTTGAAGTCACATGTAGCCCAGGCTAACTTTGAACTCTTGGCTGTCCTTCTGCCTCAGCCCCTGGAGTGCTGGGATTTCAGGCATGCAACACCATACCCAACAAAGCCCTCTTTCTTGGCTTCCCTCTTCTGCTGATTTCAGCAAAAATCATTCAAAAGTTTTCTAACTAAAAGACTGTGGCTCAAGTCCACTCAGCAGACTGCCCACATTTTATAAAGAAGGACTTCTAAGATCTATGGGGTAATATAGTAACAACAGAAAGAAAACTTTCTAACTATCTGAAATGTCTGAAAAAGGAATGTGCAGATGTGGGAAGTGATGTGGCTTGTGCTTTGTTATTACTGTTTTTTTCTGGTTTTCATTTTGTTACAGCTGAGAAGAGATAGCTTGGAGGAAAAGCCAAGGGGCAGATAAAGTTAGAGACTGCTGTTGGAAATGCATCCGAGAGAAGGCACATGCCGGAAATACAACATTAGTGGAGATGAAGGAAGGGTGTGGA